AAAAACAACGTTTAGAAATTTAATAATTATAAATAGTTTTATTTATATTTTCATTATATATGACCTTTAGAAAGTAATACTACTTAAAATAAAATACATTTTAAACGTAAAAAGGGTTTATTGGTAAAAATATAAAAGCCTCTTAATAAAGCGTATGTTGAACTTTCATAAAATCAACATTAAAAATGTAGTGAAATATTTTCAAATCCATCTAAAAATTTATTTTAGGACTTTTTGTAATTTTTTAAGAAATAAATCAAAATAGTTGCCAGACTGATAAGGAGGTTAAAGACGGGCAGCAGGAATCATTTTAAATAAAAAAACGGACTTAAAAAAGGTAAATATTTTTACGCTTATTTTTCATTTAAAAATCTGCCAGCAACATTTCTCTTTTGACACATTTTTCTTTTTGCTAAAATTAAAAATAAAATGTAAATTTTATCCGGCAGTAACACTTCCTTTAACCCAGAGACTATAAAGAGCAGCACGTTCTGGACATCGTTACGTAACGGTAAAATGTATTGATCTGTTTCCAGATAAAATCAACAGGTAGAAAAATCTTCATGGCTCTGATTTTATTTTTGCTCTGGTTTAAGTGGATTGGTAAAACTTTAGTTGAAGGAGTGTGAATAAGACTGACATGACACCGTCATAAACATGACATAACACCTGTCATGAATATCAGTAAGTCTTCATGAATATTTATGCCTGTTGTCATAAAGTGTCACTTGGTAAATTGACACTTTTAATACAAACTTGACATTATTCAAAATGTCTTTATGATAACTTGACATTAACCAAGAATCATGTCATAAATATGACATAATAGTGGTCATAATGATTTAATTGTCATTATACTATCAAAAGCTTTAACAAAATTAATATTTCCACTCCCTGAAATAAAGCAAAACAAGTAGGACAAGCAATAAAGATTTCGCTAAGCTTTATTACATGGTCAAATGATTTAATAACAGACTCACTAACAATTTCTTTTACATCAACTAAAGTGGAACAAGTAGCACCAGTTATGAATATGTCATTAAGTGTTATTACAGTGTCATTAATATTAACTGTTACCTCAAGTAAAGTGAAACAAGTTAACAGTTATGACAGTCATTAAGCGTCATTAATATTAACTATTACCTCAAGTAAAGTGAAACAAGTTACAACAGTTATGACAAAGTCATTAAGTGTCACTACGGTGTCATTAATATTAACTATTACCTCAAGTAAAGTGAAACAAGTTACAACAGTTATGACAAAGTCATTGTCATTAATATTAACTTT